ACCAGCACCAGCACCAGCACCAGCACCAGCACCAGCACCAGCACCAGCACCAGCACCACCACCACCACCACCACCACCACCACCACCACCACCACCACCACCACTGATGATGCTCATGATGATGATGATGATGCTGATGCGGGTGATGACGATTATTTTCAGGCTCCAACCATGCTCATTGCGGCAGTTAGACCAGTATCATCGGAGTAAAGTCCCAGAATCGCTTGCCCCATGTTCTTGGACATGCTGTGAGTAGTCACTGGTCATCAAGCATCCGTGCGGAGACGTCCCGGAACCTAGTTCACTGGCTGTTTGGCACGAGGCCTTGAACGCCTCCAGTGTTATCAATACGATGCGTTGGATTACTGTTTCGATTCTTGCGAACAGTCATATTACCTGCTATCCCTGCCCTGATGCCTGCACTTCCTTTCTGCCCATTCCCGGGGTAGGTTGGGATGCTGGTATGACTTGCGTAGTTCGCATTTGAGCTCTCCTTCTTTTTCTTCCGCCTTTCCTTTTCCTTGTTCTCGTAGTTGTTGTGCATGTGGTTCCAGGCTTGAACATGGAGGGCCACGATGACCAGTGCTTCAAGCATCCTGGGCGGAGCGGCTTCGTAGGGTCCAGAAGCTCAGCCGACTCTGGGTTACCGCATGGCTCGGGCTACCATCCCTGGCGTTCAAGGAGTTTCGGGGTTTTGGGGTTTGGGGATGCTGGCTCCGGGCTGCGACAGGGGCCTTGCAAGTACGGAAACTTGAAAGTGATTCATGATCCCAGACCCGTGGAGCCTTGACCCTGAACAGCATGAGGAGTCGAGGCGTTTGGACAGCCTTCAGCACGGAGCACCCAACAAGAAGCATTCGTCGGTCGCTTGCTCAAAAGGACTCAAGGAAAAGCTGGAAGAACAGTAGGGGTTGCCAGTCGTGACTCCGGGTACAGCTGTGGAATTACAGTATCATCTTAAGCTTTTTCGTTATCTTTAGGAGAACTCCAAAGTAAGGCCTGAATGTGGAACCGCCACATCCTAGCCGGATGCTGCAAGTTAGCTCAGCACCCTCGACCCTGAGCCGTAGTAGGCCCTACGAGCTTCATCTCGAGACCCTCCAAAAGCACCCCTAAACCCCAAGCCCCAACAACTCTAAACCATAAACCCTAGAGTGAGAGACCCGAAAAGCCCTAAACCCTAAACCAAACATGCGAGACGGAAAAGGCTAGTTCAACAAAAATAACCAGAATAAAAGCCCTGGTGACCTGAACCGGCTTTGTGCCATGGAGCCGGCTGCTACGTTGCCGGTCTTTGATGTGGATCTGGATGCGGACCTCAGGGAGTTTGCAGGGCCTCGAAAATGCGTTGGAGCCTGACAAATTAGAACTGGGTGTGAGGGACGTAGGTTTCCCTAATGTCCGACATGCCGCATGGCGATCCCCAAAGTCCTGAACCCAAACAACAACACGAAGCGCCGAACAGCTTTTGTCGTAAAGGATCCGGTCGAGCGGTGGCGGAGTGTGGCCGAGGAGCCCCTGCCGGGGTGTGGGGGGGGGGTTGAGGGGTCCAATGGTTTACTGGAACCCTGGAACAAAAAATCCAAAAGCTCTGCACCGGCACCCTTGGAACAAAAGCAAGGCAGAAACCCTAAAGCAGACAAGAACTGAACCAACAGCGAAAATTAAGCCTGAACCTTAATACGCCATCAGCACAACTAAGCGCCAAACCCCTACAAGAACAGAAATCCCCCTCAGCCCTAAACGCTAAACCCCTGAAGCCAAACCCTAAGTACTGAACCCTAGTGAAACCCCATACCTGTACACATCGGGTTCGGGCGTCTTGTTTTAAAAGCCCGGAGAGGGCTCAGAGGGGTCTGGACTTGTCTCGATGTACGCCTAGCAAAGGCGAGTGGCCTGTCTACAAGAGAACTTGCCGGCTTTTGCACCCAGTGACCTAGACCCTACACCCCACAAAACTGTCTGGTGCTTAGTAGGGAATGGGGGAATGGATCCCTATGATTGTCCCTTAAGGAACCTTATAGTAGCCCCTATAACCCATTCCCCCATTCCCTACTAAGCACCAGACAGAAAGAGCCGTGGGCAACCAGGCATATGCCCCTGCGCTGCAGAAGCTCGCGGATGCTCGGCACGAACTGGCCAACCGTATTGTTACAGCTGTTAGTTACTTAGTGGTGGCGGTGTCGGCCAAAGCCCAGGAGATGGTAGCTTCCCAGAGAGCCCAAGATACACCTGAATTAAGGCATAGACCTTTGTTTATAAGGAGCTTCAGATTGTGATTGAAGCTCTATTCCTGAATTAGGAGGTCTTGGGCTCTCCGGGATGCTTTGATTTGCCCTTGGCTGCCATTGTCTGATTGATTTGTCAGTGTTGGTCTCACCAGTCGTCTGATTTCAATGGGGGGCCGGTAACTTTGAGAGTGAGGTTGCGAACGATCCAGCACTTGAGCCTATTTAATCTCCCATTCAATTTTTTGGGAGGTCTTTTGCATTACGCACCCTACTACCGTCTAGGACCCAAACCCCTTCTATTCTGGCCTTCTCACCCGGCCGAGGAGTGGCAGCAATCGCTGGCAGAGGCGCCGCCCAGTCGCCGGAAAGGCCGCCGGAGACGCAAGGCGCCCCGCGACGTCTGATTGGGGAGGTGTTCCGGGCCTTAGGCTGTTGGATCTAGGGTTAGGGTTTAATAATTGAGGTTCAGGAAGA